CCTTTATACACTATTGTCCCAGTATTATTTTCTAAAGATGTGTCACAAACCTCCCTAATGAATTAAACTAAAATTTAATATGTCTGTTGTAGTAAAGATGACAGTAGGCAATATTAAAACAATAAAGCAAGCAGATTTACAGATGTACATAGACATGTATGATAAATGTATCACAAGATAATGCAAATTGCCAACATATTCTGTTTAGCATATTCTGTTTAGAACTACTGTGGCCTTATTCTACTGATTCCTAATTATTGTAATGTAACCTGTCAACAGGCAGCAGCACATACACAAGCAACATGCAGATATATAATTTATAATTTGAAAATATCAAAAGTCGAATACAATTTACAACTACTGTTAGAAATATGATTCTGACACAAACAATAGATCAAAATGTTTATTATTATTATTCCCTATTAAAAAGAGATCCAAATTTTTAACATTTTGTGCACACCGAACAAAATGAAAATATAAAAACACTGGACACATTTCTATGATGAATGTCTCAAGCCAACAGTATTCAAACCCCCACATTTGTAGATAGCAACAGAGACAACAACATGATCACAATATAATACATAATCATTTATCATGGACTAGTTTCTCCAGCCATGGCGTTGTCATGCTGTCAACTAACGTGGTAGATCCAGTTTGAGCATGTGAAATAACTTCTGTCTGAAAATGAATACAAACTGGATGTCTGGATGTTTATCTGCACAAAGAAATCAATCCATTCTGAAAGGATCTCAGATACTGACACCAACAACTCACTCAGGGTGATACAGCAACCAACAAACAACTCACTCAGTGTGATACAGCAACCAACCAACAACTCGCTCAGTGTGATACAGCAAATCAATGACATGATTTGTCATTAGAGTGATCTCTTTAAAATGTGCACAAGGCTGTGAGTGCAAAAAACAATTTTACAACACAACCTCTACTGAATATGTCCACTCAATTAGTTGTGTATCCTTAACAGGACGTTGCAGAACCAACCCTAGCACTTTCTGGCTGTTGTGGTTTTACTAGGCAAATTTACATCCAGTGGTTTGCCATTGCTTTCTGGTCGGTTGGCTCTCGGTACCACGGTCGAAACCATTGCAAGACAAACCGCCCACAGCAGGGATCGAACCCGGCACCCCGACATTATGCCTAAGCCCCAGACGCCGACGTCCACTCAATACATTTGTCAAATATGACTTGCCAGAGAATACCGTGCAATTCATCATCATCATTATCAAGCAAGTCGCTCTCATCACAGCCTGACAGAAACATCCTCCCTCCCTTTATTGTTCCCATGCCATAATCATTTCAAAGTGCAGGGTGTACTTAATAAGCAACATGTAATGAATTCTGGAATACTGTTGCAACACACATACAGTGTTGTCAATTAACAAATCAATGTACATAAAATCAAACTGTAATATCAAAATTAATATCAGAACATAAGTGTTTAACAAATAAGGAAAAGTCACAATGTGGAATGGTAGGTAAAATGTGAGGATCATTTACAACAATAATAAACCGATGCCAAACTGCCTGGTCCCTGAATCTGTCTGACCGTTTCCACCGGGAACAACCTTGCAAAAATCAAACAATGTCAGATCACTGTCGTTCTTACTTCCTCAGAGCTGGTCAACAGAAAACTGGTTCCTCTACTTGTATACAATGCTGCTACAGCAAACACAAGGTTCAGCCCCAGTATTTCTAAAGTGTAAGTATTTCTTATGATTAAAAACTGATCTAACAGTTTCCCTATCCCACATGTTCAGTATTACTGGGTAACAAACTACTGTACAAAAGATAATGATATTTCCTACCTTAATCTAGGATAGATACCGTGGTTTCTTTATTTCTGTATGACCATGTCCACGCCACAAGTGGACTTTTATATTTACATTGGTATTTCTTGAAAAAGGTGACAGCTGTTCAGAACTGACAACACAGCACCAGGGACATTCATATAAGTGCTTCATCCCCATCTAGACAGCCTTCACAATTTCAACATCAATGGTGCGCCGCCTTCACAATTTCGACATCAATGGTGCCCAGCCTTCACAATTTCAACATCAATGGTGCGCAGCCTTCACAATTTCAACATCAATGGTGCGCAGCCTTCACAATTTCAACAACATCAATGGTGTGCAGCCTTCACAATTTCGACATCAATGGTGCGCAGCCTTCACAATTTCAACATCAATGGTGCGCAGCCTTCACAATTTCAACAACATCAATGGTGTGCAGCCTTCACAATTTCGACATCAATGGTGCGCAGCCTTCACAATTTCGACATTAATGGTGCGCAGCCTTCACAATTTCAACAACATCAATGGTGTGCAGCCTTCACAATTTCAACAACCTCAATGGTGTGCAGCCTTCACAATTTCAACAACCTCAATGGTGTGCAGCCTTCACAATTTCAACAACCTCAATGGTGTGCAGCCTTCACAATTTCAACAACCTCAATGGTGTGCAGCCTTCACAATTTCAACAACCTCAATGGTGTGCAGCCTTCACAATTTCAACAACATCAATGGTGTGCAGCCTTCACAATTTCAACAACATCAATGGTGTGCAGCCTTCACAATTTCAACAACCTCAATGGTGCGCAGCCTTCACAATTTCGACATCAATGGTGCGCAGCCTTCACAATTTCGACAACATCAATGGTGCGCAGTCTTCACAATTTCAAGATCAATGGTGCACAGCCTTCACAATTTCGACATCAATGGTGCGCAGCCTTCACAATTTCAACATCAATGGTGCACAGCCTTCACAATTTCAACATCAATTGTGCGCAGCCTTCACAATTTCAACATCAACGGTGCCAGCAGCCCTCTGAATATCTGTTGATCTTGCAGTTTGAATGGAAGTCTCTAAAGTGCTACTTTCTTCAATCAGTTGTACTCACACTGACTCAGTTCAACTCTCAAGTTAACTATCATTGTTAGAAAGATACTGAGATAAAAAACCAGCAATACTGGTCCTTTAACGATTGCGAAGCTGGCACAGCATGGCAACCAATGATCCCCACTCAGCTGGGTACTTGATCCAGTGTGTGTGTGATGTTTTTGGTCATGGGACTCGTGCTCAGACAATGACTCATGACTGGAAACTATGGAAAGACTTCAGAAGATCTTGTTCCTTGCCGTCCTTTTTAACCCTTTGGAGATGGAGCCTTTTTTGAGTTCAGCACCAAGAAGATGGAGCCTTCAGGAGGGGATTCTCTTTATTTGAGCACACACACACAAAACAATAAAAAATAAACCGTTTAATTAACATTTATAAAACTATACATATTCGTGTAGGAAATTGAATGAACTAACACAATCTTTATGAATTGCGCTGACATCTCAGCATTTATTCAAACTAGCTATGCTGATTTAAGCATGCGTTTTATTTGTTTTTAAAGTTAGGGCAAACATGACTAAATTTAACAATGTGTGGGTAAATTTTCTCATGAATGAAGCCTGAATAAGTCCTAACACTTGTGTTTTGGGACATAAGGAACATGGAGGCCCTTTGCACATGGTTCTACTCCTTTTCCTGCTATATTTTATTGCTGCAATGCAACAGTTCTTTTCACCTTTGTTGGGGACAGGTAATACCTAAAAAAAAAAAATCGACTTTAAGTTACAGAATGCAGCAAACCCGCATGAAAGCCGCCACTGAAAAGCCCACATGTGCAAGAAATATGAGAAGCAATCTGGCTGTAGACCAGCCACCGGTATGTAAACCAGCCAGCCAATCTCAAGGCTTATATTAATGAGGCCAGGCGTCTTTTTGGCTATTTTGCTGTTGGGCCGATAGATCGGCCTTGTAATCCCCAAAAGGTTAAGTATTTTACTTCTTTGACTGGCCTGAGTGATCAGCATGGCAGTTACTTCTGAACAGAAATTGAACAAACAAACAAACAAAATTGCACAAAAGACTGGCAGTTTTTTTCTTTGACTACAATGTCAGTTTGAGATAATAAGAAAGCCCTGGATAAAGTGCTGACAAAATTACAACAAAATGAATATTTAGTGTGAGCGCAGAAGAATCCTCACAAAGCAGACTTCTGATGCAGACAGTGTGAGCTCAGAAGAATCCTCACAAAGCAGACTTCTGATGCAGACAGTGTGAGCTCAGAAGAATCCTCACAAAGCAGACTTCTGATGCAGACAGTGTGAGTGCAGAAGAATCCTCACAAAGCAGACTTCTGATTGCAGACAGTGTGAGCTCAGAAGAATCCTCACAAAGCAGACTTCTGATGCAGACAGTGTGAACTCAGAAGAATCCTAACAAAGCAGACTTCTGATGCAGATAGGACAATGAATATCACACCATACCTCATTCAGGTCGTAGAAATCACACCCGTAACATTTATATAAAAAATATATAATACAACAAGTAGGGTTCACTAAGGTCCTGCTGAGAAAAAACTAACACAAAATCTACATAATACACTTAAATGTCTATGGGAAACACTGTAGCAGGATGCAGTAATTTATAATATTACAGCCATTTTTTTAAATCTGATCCACATTAATGAAACAGTTTAATGTTCAATTAAAAATAAAAACATTTCAAGATATACATTTAGTAAACATGGTTGAAATAACATCCATCAGTACAACCAAATATTTGTGTCCAACCTAGAAAGTAACACTCATGAGACGAGACTGACTTTGAATATGAATGAGGTACTAGAATGTCTTGAGTACCTTCGAAACACAAACAGTCGATCCTGATATCAATGGTTGAGAAGTTTAACTTTATACATAAATGCACTCCTCTCAACAAAACTAATAGCAATATTGAAGAAGCAACTACAGATACAAGTCAATGAGTGACATGGGATGTTTCAAGATGCAACAGACTCTTCAGCAACTACAGATACAAGTCAATGAGTGACATAGGATGTTTCAAGATGCAACAGACGCTTCAGCAACTACAGATACAAGTCAATGCAATAGTGACAAGGGATGTTTCCGGATGCAACAGACTCTTCAGCAACTCATCGGAGGCATGAGCTGACGCTCCAGGGAATGAAGCTGGTTGTATTCAGCTGCAGCACTTTGCTTCTGAACCAAAGTAGGGACTGAAATTTATAAGACAAGACAAATTAAATGCTGATAAAATCAGGGTTATCATCAATCAGAATTCTACATAATAACTGCAGTCTTATGATAAACACAAATTAAAAGACCTTTTTTCCATGCCAGGGACAAATCACATAATATAACGTAGTTACCTTTAGACACCCTTCAGTACTCGCTGATGTGGCGAACATTATGTCATCTGCCTTTACTGCCCAGGACATTTCCTGCTACTCATTTGATGTTGAGCTGAGCTGGCAGCCAAGGTCAATTATTTAATAAAACAATTTAAAAAAAACAAAAAACATTAACAGTGCAGATTTAAACCCAAGACCTTCAGGCAGACTGCAAGTCCAGCAGAGAATTACTGTAGTCTTGGAAGACAGGACTCAATTTGGTAGCTGTTTAATTTTTTTCCAGGCACTGAAAATTTGTCAAAGTTTTTCGCCAGGTGTAATGGTTAGATGTTCACACAGAATCAAAGACTTTTTCTAAAGTTAATTGGCCAGGTCGACTCAAAGTGATAGAGTCGCTGTCTTGGGATGTACCCGGTACGCCGACATCACCAACCAAGCGCCAACTATTCTATAAAATATAGGTCTAGCCCTTTATGCCTATTATAAAAACGTCGTCCCCATGTGGGATGCAATTTTTTGTTTTTTGAAGCCCCAACCCTGGCTTCTGCCAGGGGCTCTGAATATAGCCGGGCCATAAATATGGACTAACGGCTGAAAGGGGTTTTTGGGGACCTCCCCATGGGTGATCCTCATCCACATGGTGGCACTTTGTGTCACCGGGTGTTTATCGCTTGTGTGATGTCCTGGTGGGGTACAACTACCTACCTACCAACATGCCTAAAGGTGTGGACAAGGGTTCTTGACTTCCATTTTCTAAAATCACAGAGTGAAAAAACACAAGTTGAAGCAGAATTTTGTAAAACTGACTTTGGCATAACAGGCATAAGTATATTTTCACTGGCATTTCCATACTACATGTGTAAAAGATGTTTAAGGTAGTTTAACAAATATATATACATAATAAAAATAGGCCTGGAATTTAATTTTGTAACAATTATATAGTTGTTAAAGTGGTAAAGAGTGAAACCTGAATTTTACACACATATATATATTTGTTATATTAGTAAATATAATAAAAAAAAAGAGACAAGTGAAATACTTTGGCCACATTAAAAGACAGAAAATGTTTTTAAAAAGCATACTAGAAGGCAAAGTCAAAGACAAGAGAGCAAGTGGAATAATTATTTTTTTTTTAAAGTAATAATTCTGACAGCCTTTCCATCTAATCCTTTAGTTTGGAGGCAAGAAATAAGCATTTCATGTTGCACTCTGTCAAAGACCTTCTTGTAATCTATGAAACATGTATAAATACTTTTCTAGACTTTTATACATTTTTCAGTTAGCATCTTAAAACAAATTATGGCTTCCCCAGTGCCATTATTTTTCCAAAATCCAAACTGTCCCTCAGATATTTCATTTTTTTTTTGGGTTGGTATGAACTTGAGAAGTATTTTAGTTATTTGGCTCAGCAAACTAACTGTTCTGTATTCTTCACATCAAATGGCTTCTGACTTTTTTGAGCAGTGTGATCAAAATAGACGTTCTAAATCCTTTGGAATGTAGCCAGTATTATAAATATCATTACAAATTTCAGTGATGCTATCGACTCCAAAGCTGGATAATGATTTTATCCTTTCCGTTGATATTTTGTCAGGATATAATGTATATTCACACACTGACCCTGTAAAAAAAGATGTTTGTTAATACATGGAACTAGATACATGTTGCGCATGAAGCAATACAGCATGTAAGCTAAGGCTGTGGAACACACTGCTTAAACTAAGCCGAAGTCTACCATGTGTACAGTGCTAACTAGATAAGAACTGCTTAATGCAATCAGATAAGTAAAGCATCTTCTAAAGATGAGAAATAATACACAAATAGCTGAAATAACTACACAAATGTCATGATCAGTTTTATCATCAGCAGCCTCTCAGCCAGCAAACATGTACAATACCCAAGAGCAGTGGCCATGTCAGACACTGCTATTGGGACGTGAAGTATTGAGCTTTCACTTAGTCCTAGCCACAGAGGAGGAGGTGGGGCAGCCAGTTACTTTCCACATTAGCATTCTTTTTCAGACATTTATGGAAAAATGCCTGGCACCCGTATTAAGAGGCTAATGCTGGAAAGAAAGAGATGATGGGAACTGAACCTGGCTGGACCCTAGCTCTGGCAGGCTAGTGCTCATCACAGTGGAACAGTAAGACACAGAATCATCACCTTTTAGTCCAAGTCGTGTGATGCTGGTAATCGTGGATGTCCACATCCTTCTGTCATGTTTGTTGCTGATACATGTGTCCCATCATGCCTTGACGACAAAATGTCTAACATCTAAACAGAATGGTACCTCGGCATACGTTTGCTTTAGTTTACATCCTGTTTAGACATGACACATTTTACTTGGTACACAACGTTTATCTGGAATACGACCCGTGCGGTAGAACTTGTATGAACTTGACAAAATTTGTTATGATACAATTTGCTTTCCTTGTTTACCTCTCTTAAGGCAAAGCCACGGAGAGAGTCAATGACATTGCAGATAAATACCACGCCAACAATGCCCAAACATGCCATAACAGCAATGTCTGGAATGACGAGGCAATGTCACATTTCCAACCAGGTCCAAGTTGAGAAAATAGATAAGGAAAAAAGAAAGAAAAAACACCAGAAAATCAGATTCCCCAAGTTTTATAGGAAGGGGACTCTCCTTATAGGAAGGGGACTCTCCTTCCAAACAATAGCATCTGCTTCTCCTCCCTTGTTAGCACACTCCTAGCAGGTACTCAACTCTTCTCAGCACTGCTTTTGTATTTTAGGATTAGGCAGTATATAAATTATTTTATACAACCCCCTTGGTGTACACAATATGTTACAACCCCCTCGGTGTAAGGTGTACACAATATGTTACAACCCCCTCGGTGTACACAATATGTTACAACCCCCTTGGTGTACACAATATGTAACAACCCCCTCAGTGTACACAATATGTTACAACCCCCTCAGTGTACACAATATGTTACAACCCCCTCAGTGTACACAATATGTTACAACCCCCTCAGTGTACACAATATGTTACAACCCCCTTGGTGTACACAATACGTCAAAAACAACCAATTTTTTTTCTTTAAGAAAATGTATTAATCTCCCTTTATTTCTTATGGGTAACTTTGTCTGCTATACGTTTGAGGATCTGGAATGGATTAAGTATGTATTCTGAGATACCAATGCACTTATGCTTATCATTCAAATGACACTCAGACATTTTTTTCACATACTTGTATTTTATAGATAACATTTCCATAAAAGCATACTTGTTCTTTTTTTTTTTTTCCCACACACTATTCTTTCTCCCCCTACAACAGTGCCGCGGAACCCAAATGAGGCAAAACAACAAAATTACTATAATATCACAGGAAGTTAGGCCAATGCATGTAAACTGTTTAAAATATATCACTTTGGCCAAATCACCAGTCAGTAGTTTGTGTGCTATATCCAAGAGAAGCAACATACATTTTAGGCAAAATTACTGTTACTATCAGCTAATAAACTGTTGTTACATAAATCAACATTTCCTATCCAAGAGAAAAAATGGCTAGAGAAATCAAAAAAATCATTTAAAAAAAAAAATATAAAACAGAAAAACAAATATTATAAAAAAAATTCTTTAACAGGTGGTTACAATCTGACACAACTTTGAAAAAAAAAAAAAAAAAAAAAAAAAAAAAACTACTAACTCATCTGAACCAGTCAAGTTTGCCTCGACTATTCTGATTTTTTTTTTTAAATTAACGTTTTGTAGAATGCAGTTCCTCACTGCATACTATTGTTTATAATGACAACTAGTGAATAGTTTACTAAAAAAAAGGTAAGAAAGAGAACAGTCCCAATAGATTTTAGAAAAAAATGAACATAAAAACACATGCTACAGTGAATGCAGACAGTGACTCTACATATTATTTATTGTGTAGAGTATAACAAATGTATCTAAGCAAAAATATTTCAGTGAGGTGCAACCGGATCAATAAATAAACAGAAGCAAAGATAATGTGTGGGCATGTGTTAGATTATATGTAATTGAATATACTACATCAATACCATGCGGCGTCCGTGGCTTAGGCGTTGCGAGTCTGACTCGTAATTCCAACGTACTGCGATCGAAACCCACTGCTTGCTGCATGGATTTTTACCATAGTACGTGGCGTCGCAGGTCGACCCAGCCTAAAGTGGGTACCAGGATGTATGTCCTGGGGAAGTAAAGACGGCCGGCGTAATGCTGACCACATTACCGACCTAGAGCCGATTGGTTTGTCAAAATATGGGCGCTCTTCCCATATGCCCGATGCGATTATGGCGTGAAAAGGGATCTTTACTTTACTTACTTACATCAATACCATCAGCTGAGTCATTACAAGCATTAGTATCTTGGTTAAAATTTAACAGGTTGTGAGTAAAGTTTTGGAAGATATTCAAGACTAAGGGGGGAAAACTATGGCAGTCTTTTAACCTGATAATAGTAACGGACATGTGCGAAAACAGAGAAAACGGCCATGAAAGTTTTAACATATTTACAATGTTAGTCAGTCCACTAAATCTGGCACATAGGCTGCTGATGTTATTTGTGTGATGTCCCAAGATGTGAAATATGAAGTAAAAAAAACCTGAACTAATCAAGGGCACCAGCAAGGTAAAAAATCCCCCTTTTTTCATGCATGACAGTCAGTATTCTCCGCGCTTGCCGCACACTCAGCGATAAGCTTGCAGCTGCAGAGTTTATTCTCCTTCTATCCAGCTCATTGAAACAGCTCTAAAGATCCTTCAACATGGAAAATGATCCACAAATACAGCATATGCCTACAGCCTAACTATACAGTCACAACAATTCCAGGCATAGACAGAAAGGCTGAAGAATGTGACCTAGTACT